CTCATTTAAAGTCGGAGATGAAAGATAATGGCTCAGTGGGTGGAGTTCAATGACGCAAAACCAGCGCACCGGAAACATAGAACCGGCGCGGCACCACCACCACCACCACTTGGTTTGACCACACAAACCAACTGAGCGGAGCCCAAAAGGCCGGCTGTGGGTGGAAAACTATCGGTGACGGTCTATTGAAGCTGCACATCTCTTGGGAGGAATAAAAACGCATAGAGCGTAAAAAGTTTGTCTGAGACTGCCGCACTTTTAAACCCAATCGCTATCCGAAAACTTTACATGGGGACTGATCACTCTGGCAGAAAAGGGCAAAAATGGTGATGTAACCGCCTTTACGTTTCGACGGATTACATCATGCTGATAACAGAAAACCCCACTGTCCCAAATATACCAGTCCGTAATCCGGCTAAATCCCTGAACAAAGCGTCGCGCCCAGCCATCCCCAAATATGTTCAGCCGTCTCCCCGTCCGGCCGCACCTTTAGTCCCACGGGTCCCACGGACTCTGAGACAGGAGCTTGATAGCCGATGATCCCTGCTAAATGCAACAACAAAGGGAATTGCCGCCTCGCAGCGCCGTAATAGGACATCAGTTTTGCAAAGTTTTCATTCGCAACTTATCGGTAATTCATATGCATTATGCATCTTGCAAAGCAAAATACTACCAAAGCTGCCCTTTCTGACTTGGTCTAGCTCAACCACAAAAAAAAAATCATCCTCCTACGGCACAAACAGAAACCTCACAAATGTGTCCCGTAGCCGCAAACAGCACGTTTCCCTCAAAAGTCACGAAATGAATAGTAGCGAACCGCTACCTATCCAGCAATCACTAAAATCGCATAGCTAAACACCACCTATCGCAGACCCAGCTGCTCTAAAGTGAGGGGAAGCCTAGAGGAGATGAAGCGGCACTAAAGTAGGGTCACATCGCCCGGCACCGTCCAGATCCCGCCCGAAGGAGGGGCCAGGACGTCTGGGGGGGGGGGGAGGAAGGACACCATAGAGCAGTCGGGGCATGCGTCAGTGGAAACGACGAGCGACCGACCGACTCACGGCGGCGGGCATCCGTGTCTTGGCACCGGTCCAATCCTGCGGTGGATAAACCAAACAAAATCGGCGACCGAATCGTGAAGCACATCATCTGTGACGTAATACCACGGGAAGGCACAGGGACTAGCCGAGGAGGGGAGAATATGACGTCACACCGTCGCCTCTGGATGGAATAGGTGTGGCCCGGAACACGTACGGTAACATGATCTCGCGCCTCTGACGCACTCAGCTCAGGATGACGTCACCGCAACGAGCATGGTGTTCCCATAGGGATGGATGGATCAGGGATGGCTCTGAAACTGAATCACTTGCCTAAGTCAGTGTAGAAGGAGCAGTGAAAAATAAGGTATGTAAAGAAGAAAGCTGGGACATTCTTAGAGCCTAGCCATGGGGCTCAAAGGGATGAGATATGGGGATGGTAGTAATGGCACCAGGAAAAGAGACACTTGCATCAGGTATCTGATTGAAACAACTTTGATTTATTTCAGCATGAATTCAGTGGCCTATGGTGTGAAACATACAAAGACAAACTCATTTTAATGAATTTCAACAAACATGGGGAACATAAGAAACTGCTACAGTTTGACCCCCAGCTGAGCAGGTTGACCCTTGTCCTGTGAAAATTCAGGCTCTGTGACAACTAACAACTGACAATCCTATGACAATGCAGCCTATGAGCCTCGGGTACCAATCAACATAATGCCTTCACAGACTCCTGGATAGTCAAGAGCTGATTGATCATTCTCATTATTCAGATAACTTTACAGAATAAACATCAGCATACTGCTTGGAGTGAGTGTGAGAAACTCATATCAATATGTACTCAGGAGGCACATGCCCATTCAAAAACTCCCCATATCAATATTAATTGCAGTGACCACAAAGAGGGAGCAGTCTTTCATGGCATTGCTTTCAATCATCTGTATATTGCTCTGCAACTGGCCACCCATTGGTAGTGGTCACACTTTTCAGGGGGTTTTACCTAAATCCTAGAAGCTTTGGGAATGGTTAGCTTGCATTTATTGTTTTACAACATCGTCCCATGACCCATCATCACCATCTTAATATGGAGTAAGGACTACTACAAGTAAGGATGCCAGCATAAGTCAGCATCTCACTTTGAACATATTCACTGTACACCTGGGCCCTGTTTCACAGCATGACGCTGCAGCGTGCTGCATGTATCACTTATCAGTGTATTAGGTTTCCACAGAAACATCAACAAACTCAGATGCTTGCAATGCTAAAGCGTCAAGGTGAATTTGTCTCAAACACCACACAAACACTGTAGTGCAGCATAGCGCACTGCAGTGGCGAGCAGTGAACCAGTCGGGGAAACTATGGTAAAATCTGCTATTTTTAGCAGTCTGCTATTTTTAGCAGAAATCTGCTAAAAATGGGTACGCATGTGACGTCATCGTACCCAAATATAGCAGATTTGGGTACGGCCCCATACAAAAGCAGATCTGCACCCTAATTGAAGCAAATGCGCATCAAATACCTGGCAGATTCATGATTAGAATAGTGCTGAGAATGTCCTCTGATATTTTTGTTCAGATCCGACTATTTTCAAATAATGAATTTGAAAATAGTCGGATCTGAACAAAAATAGCAGAGATCACTCTCAGCACTATTCTCATCACGAATCTGCCAGGCATTTGATGCGCATTTGCTTCAATTAGGGTGCAGATCTGCTTTTGTATGGGGCCGTACCCAAATCTGCTATATTTGGGTACGATGACGTCACATGCGTACCCATTTTTAGCAGATTTCTGCTAAAAATAGCAGACTTCAAAAAAATAGCAGATTTTACCATAGTTTCCCCGACTGGAACGAGGGCCAAAGAGAAAATGGGTTAACATAGGGTTAACATACCTCGGCTCCCGCTAAACTCACCACAACAGATCTTGAACTAGGTTCCAGATATCAGAGAGGGTCCTCTCTCAGCAGAAAGAACCAAGTGTGATTGTTGTTGCTGACTTAAGAGGTACGCAACAACATCAATATAGCAATGCTTCCGCAATTCCTTCAAACAATCCCCAAGCACCACCACTCACGCCCCAGACTCTCGCACAACCCCCAGAAAAGATCGAGGAGATCGGTCACTGTTTCCTTAGTGTTCAGTAGCTAGCACAGCTAGCGTTCTTTATGAAAAGTAGCATGCGTTGCCAAGCAACTGAATTACATTAGCAGCTTGTGGAGATAGTTGCTAGGCAACTGGCTTTGCTGCAGCTAGATATGAACAGGGTGAATGTCACATTTGCGTTATCAAACGCCTATAAATTTTTCTTGTGATTACTGTTCGTCAGCGAAATCAAGCACTCTTGCAAAACGTTATTTCTTTTCGATAAGCCATTATTTTAGAGCAAGTAAAAAATTAGGAATATTTTTTTTTCTATTCAAATTAAATTTGAAACAATTATTATGGATCATAAAAGGTTATTGGAAATTGATATTTGCTTTTGGGGGATAATTTTTTCAGTACCTAAATTTCCGTTATTTTGCACTATCATAAGTTCAGTTTGCACTATCGTCTTTTCGTAGGCAATTCCTGTCAAACACAGGTATATCCGGTCATTCCGCACTATTTTAGTTAGTATAGAGGCGATGCCAGATCTGACATAATGGGTGTGTGGTAGCTCATTTTGCACTAAATCCGGTATATGAGCACTATTCATGATTTCACTGCCGAGCACGAGCTACTGCTATGATCACAGTATTCTTGAGCCTTGAGGTATTTATTTTTTATGTTGTACGTAAGTTGGACATCAAAGTATGATCCTCCATTCAGCGTATTACTTCAACGATGAAAACGGAATTGGAGCAAGTTTTGTTGCATAGGTCCTGCCCTCTACGCAATACACCACGCCCGCGGTGCTGCCCCCTAACGACTAATTGGAATGCTGGGTATATATTAGGTAAATTTGTGGACAAAAATGCGCAACGCTTAAGTTCGTGGGACAAAATCATGTACGCAAATGTACGGTACACGGTCTGCCCACCGGCTTCATCTGGCTCACGATGCAGCGTGACCACTCATGCTCCTCAGAAGCAAAGTACCAGCCCCTCGAAATGAGAGCTGGCTAGGCGTTAGGCCGCTGATTGCTGAACGATGAAACGCTGCTGCGAAATGCTACAATCAAGATCCATCTAGTTAGATGTGCGTCAATGACAGACACGTCCCTTCCACGACACGTACGGAAGGGACGTCGAGCGCTTCCTACTAAGCATGGGAAAATGCCACCGCACAAAATTTGCTACTGCAATGCTGTACCTACATGCCCATAGCGCCGTTAGATAACCTGACAGAATAAAGACAGCAGCACTGGCGGACCAGTACGCTTGGGCGGACGGTAGAACCCAACATCCTCGCGGAAATCGTCATCACTCTCCAATTTCCATGCTAAGAACCTCGCTCAGTTCACGCTTGGACAAGAAAAGGCAGGATGATCGGCACACGCTGAGGCTGCACGTAAATCAATCTATCCAAATTCCTTGCCAAATCCGTCCAAGAAGCGCGCCTTGCTTCCTATCGGTCCTCTCAAAACGCATGCGCCGAAACAGACGCTAATCGACCTGGCAACAAACAATCTGTAGCTAGTACAGACTAGTATTGTAGTTTATTTCTCCATAATATACTAAAATCCTTCTAGATCTAGCAGGGATGCCTAAACATCTACCAAAAATAGTGCGAAATGACTACCATTAGGTGCTATTCAAACTAAAAGTACTGCGATTTAGACTGAAAGCAGTGCTAAAGTCCCTTAAATAAGTGTTAAAACTGGTTAGGTGCTAAATGACCCTGTTATACCTCAAATTAACTGGAAATGCCTAGTTTTGCCGAAAATACCACAAAATGACCGGTTTTTAGTGCTGAGAAAATTACCATCCTTTGCTTTTTGAGCCGACAGATTCTGCTCAAGCAGGCTACCAGTACGGGTCATTGAACAGACTGAACGCGACTGCAAAACGCGCGTAAAAATTATAAATACAATGGCTAACTGGCATTTTTACTCTGTTTGCGCTGTTTGCTCAGGATTCCAGGGACGTCATTGCTTGCTTTTTATAGTTTAATTGTTTTCATCCTGAACTCAAATTATAGGTGAGGTAGATACCTACTGGCCATTAACTATTGTATCTTATCCACTTCAACTTCTGACCTAAGTGAAAACCAATTAAATTAAACTTTTTTAGGTTTTCACTCATTTTGATCCACCCACCTATCAATACCTATCAAACATGGAAAGAGAAAGTGCAGAGGATTGGTTATGGTTTAGTAGTTAAATGGCTTTGGCTTACTTTTGATCATGAATGATACACTGAGTGCCGATAAGTATTCCCGCGCATTGCAGACAGCACCTTGGCTGTAGCCCGTAGGTAGGTGGTTAACCTGCGACGAAGACAATATTATTTTTCAAAAGGTTACATTTACCAGTATTTTATATTAACGGTCCAAGGAACTTTGACTCAAATATGCATTTGCTAAGGCTGGTTTCACTGCACATGGATACTAAATGCTATGAAAAGAATGTTACACTCTTTATTAGATTGGGTCTTGGGGTTGGACAAGCTAACAATGGTTCCTGTCTTGGAGTTGTACTTTTAACCTATGCAATACTCATTACTCTTAAGAGTTTAGATGAAAGATGAGAATCCTGTTGAGTCATACCACCTGTCAATTCAAATTATTTGAAGATAAGTTGACTTCTTATAATTCTTATAAATACCACTATGAATGGAACTTAGGTCTTCACTGCTTGGGGCGTGTAATGTTTGTTATGTTACCTAGTGTTTAGGAGTTGCCATTGCAAAGTAAATGCCTCTGATAAGATTTATATCAAGTGAGGACACACTATCTAGTCCTAAAATGAGTAATTTAATGGGTTTGATGTGCTTCATGTTCATCATTAGGTATTGTCTCTTGTCATGAACATACTGGTTGCTGCATCAGAAAGTTCACTGGGGCCAGAAGAGAAAAATGTATCCATTGATTTAACCTTTTTTCTTGTCTGTTCCAGGCACCATGAAGAGTACTTGAATGAGATGCAAGCTGATCACATTTTGAAGTCATATTGTTGAATTAGTCATACTTTCTTGCAAGCCATCACCCTGCTCAGGAGACCACCTTCTTGCAAACCATGGAAGCCAGCTCAGTGAAGCCACCAGAAAGGGAACATTTTGAGACTCTCCAAAAGTTCTTTGGTTATGGACAATTCCGCCCAAAGCAGTGGGAGATTATCTGGAATGTTCTGAATGGTGGGCCCGACCAGCTGGCAGTGATGGCCACCGGCTCGGGCAAGTCGCTCTGCTACCAGTTCCCGGCGGTGCATCGGCGCGGCCTCAGCCTGGTCGTGTCGCCGCTCATCTCGCTGATGGAGGACCAGGTGCTGGCTCTGCAGCTGCTCGGCATCCCCGCCTGTCTGCTGGGCAGCGCCCAGACGCGCCCGGCCGCCGTGCGACAGGAGCTGCGCGAGGGCAAGTACCGCCTGCTCTACGTCAGTCCCGAGTATGCCGTCGAGAACACGGACTTTCTGCGGGAGCTCTCCGACTCTGTCGGCCTGACGATGGTGGCGGTGGATGAGGCGCACTGCGTCAGCCAGTGGGGACACGACTTCAGGTCCTCCTATCGGCGGCTAGACGTACTGCTGAAGGAGCTGCCCAACGTGCCGATGCTGGCCCTCACTGCCACGGCCACACACGACGTGCGGGCAGATATCATCCGGTCACTGGGCCTCAGGGACTGCAAGACGACGGTGACTTCGTTTGACCGGCCGAATCTGTACCTGGAGGTGCGTGCCAAGAGTTCCAGCGCTCTGGGAGACGTCACCTCTCTGATGCAGCGCGTGGGAGGACAGTGGCGATTCGATGGCGCCACCATCATCTACTGTCCCACTCGGAAGGGCACCGAGATCCTACACACCGCACTGCTCAATGCTGGCATTCCATGTGTGATGTATCACGCCGCGATGACTCTCAAAGAACGCAAGGACGCCCACGAACAGTTCGTACGCGACAAGGTGTCCATCATCGTGGCGACTGTGGCGTTCGGCATGGGCATCGACAAGCCGGATGTGCGCAGAATAGTTCACTATGGGGCGTCCCGTGACATCGAGTCCTACTATCAAGAGATCGGCCGCGCTGGTCGCGACGGCCAGCCAGCCGTGTGCACATGCTTCTTCAAGTCGGCCGATTTTGTGGTGCACCGCCACTTTCTGGCAGAGCTCACCTCTCAAAGCTTTAGAGAGCATAGGCTGGAGATGATGAATGGATTTGAGGCACTGCTGAGTGGCGGCAAGTGTCGCAGACGAACTTTGCTGCAGCACTTCGACTCCCAGGCGACGGCCGGCGAACGGGCCGGCTGCTGTGACAACTGCGACAACAAGTACAGCAGCAAGAAGACGTCAAATATGGACGCATCCACGTCAGACGGAGGTCACAACTTCGCCGTGCAGGGAGCCATGCTGCTGGGAGCTGTGAAGCTGATGAATGGTCGCTCGGGACTGAGTACTCCGATATTGTTCCTGCGCGGCTCGTCTAGCAAGAAAGTCTGGGAGTGGCTGAAGACAAAGGAGGGCTATGGATCTGGCAAGGAGTACAGCGAGGCCTTCTGGAAATCTCTCGGCAAGATGCTGATCTTCGAGACGTACCTGGGTGAGCGTGGCGGAGGGCAGCGCGGCCGAGGAGGGGGACAGCGCGGTCGAGGCGGAGGCTCGTCCTTTGTCACAACAATCTACGTCACGCCGAAGGGTGAGGAGTTTCTGAAGGCCTACACACGGAATCCGGCCATCCGCTTGGACCTGGTGCCGACCGGAGACATGCGTGTCGCACAGAAGAAGCCAACCCACTCAGACTTCGCCGAGCTGGACATCCAGTCGGGCAGCCGACAAATGCTGCCGGACCGAGCTCCCAGCTCGAAGCCTGTGTGCGGCGTGGTGCTGGAACCGCCGCCCGATCCCACGGAGCTGAAGTACAGGGGTCAGCTCTACACAGATCTGTTGGCGCTTCGCTCCCGTCTCAGCGACCAGCTGGGCGTCATGCCATACATGGTGGCCAGCAACCGGGCACTGCTGGAGCTGGCACAGCGCCGCCCCACCTCGCTGACTCAACTGGGCAGAGTCGAGGGCTTCACCGACGCCAAGGTGCAAAAGTACGGGTACGAAATCGTGGAGTTGGTGAACAATGCGGCCATCAAGCACAACCTGACGACCAACAACTTCCCCGACAAGATGCCCGATGAGAAGCTCGATTCCGGTGCCGAAGAGGCTTTGTTGCTGCGTCTAAGCGAAACGCAGCGCGAGAGCTACATCCTGACGCAGCATGAGTCACAGAGCCTGGAAGAGGCGGCCGAAAAGAAGGGCGTGAAGCCTTCCACGGTGGTCACGCACCTTTCCGAGGCGATCAAGATCGGTCTTCCGGTAGATCTGTCGCGTCTTGGTGTCGACAATGCCTTGGTGGAGTCGGTGTACCGTGTCGTGCGCAGTCCTGCGATCGGCTCCAACATCAGCCGGCTGGGCCCGATCAAAGAGCAGTGCCCGCCAGAGGTGAGCTGGGACCAGCTGAAGCTGTGTCTGGCGGTCATTTCGCGACTCCACGGCCTCTCCGATGATGGGTCGTCGGCAGCGAGGCCCGCCAACCCCACTCCGTCAGCAGCGGTCGCCCGACCGCCGTCTCCGCCGGATGCGTCCGACTCCGGCTGGATGAGCTCCTCCCGGCCAGTACCCACCACGATTGTGTCGGCCCGCCGGATGAACACCTCCCAGGCCAGACCGACCCGCTACGTGGGCTCTGATCCGCCAGTGGTGGCACCGTGCTCACCGCCGCCCGCCGCCGCGCCTTCTGCACCCCCTGCTGCGACCACGGTCCGCCCGAGCGCCGGTCTGATCGAGGTGGTCGATCCGTTCGGCGACGAGTCAGACCCGGACGAAGCGGAGGTGTCGGCTGCCGAGCAGCTGGCGATGGACGAGCTGAACACCTCAGACCAGAGGCAGAGACTCGTCAGGGAACCGTCGCCGCCACGGTCGCAGCCGGCGTTCCGCTGGGGCACCGCCGGGGCCGACGAGGACGGGGAGGAAGACAGTGTGAAGGAGAAGCCGGAGTCGAGCAAGCCGCTGTGGGGTAGGTTAGACCCGGACGAGGTCAACTCGCGATCGGTGGCCCCTCGTGTCGCGCCGGCGGCCAGTCGAGCTGCGCCAGTGGCCGGTCGTGTGGCACCCAAGATGCCAAAAGTGCGGCCCGCCCGGCTGCTCTCCGCTGACTCCGACTCCGATGGAGAGAAAGAATCATCCCAGGAACGTGCCATGAAGCGAAAGCTACCCTCCTGGCTGACGAGCGGCTCACAGTCCACTGGTACTGGCGTGAAGAAGCGTTCGTTGTTTTCGAAGTAGTGAAGCGCTGTAGTCAGCTGCCAGTGCAAAGTAGCCCATGTTGAGTTTGTTATCATGTTGCGTCATTGTTTGATGTGCATCTTGTGCTTCCTTACCTATGTCAAATATAAATAGTGATATGTTTCTTATACAGTCCTTGCTTCATCCATTCACGGTTATAATTACACGTAGAGGCATGCTGACAGCGACATTGCGACGTACGAACCTGTTTGAATATTTACTTTTGCAGATTCCCCTACGACATCCTCCGTATAGTTGCGGAACGGCAGCAAAGCTCGTGACAAGCACGAAGACACCAGACGTAACTGCAATTGACACTAGCTTATATAACCGCTAATTGCCTTTGCCTTTTGAACTTCTGAGATATAACCGCAAACGTAAATGTGCAAAACCTACCGCTTAATCTCGCGAGAGCCGTACCTAGGATTTAGCCAAGCGGGGGGGGGGGGGGGAGGAGTCCCGGGGGCCTCCTTTCTACAGAGGGCCTCCTCTCTAAAGGGGCCTCCTCTCTACAGAGAGCCTCCTACCTACATGATTACACACAACATAATGCCTTAACTTTTGACAAGTCGTGCTTTGAAGTTTGAAATTTATTTCACCCAGTGCTAGGAAGCATTCATCTGGACTGGTGGTCGCGACTCGCGAAGTACGGTACGGCCGTGTGAAATCTGTCGCTGGCCGCTGGCCGATCCAGAAAGGCGGTCTTGGTCGCTGCAGGGGGAGGGGGAATGCACAAATAGGTTTCTCCAAATTAAAACACGGACTTCGATTAGTTTAAAACAAGCTTTTCCTCGTTAAAGTTGTTAGTTTTTGCTTTATCCTCGAAAAAAACGCAAATTGTCGTCGATTTCGGGCTAGTTGCGGGGACAGGGCATTTGCTTGACCCCAAATGCACCCATGGATCAGACAGCATCGCTGGCGGAGTCTATTGCTTCGTGTGCCACCAATACGATGGAAGTAAGGTAGTTTCGCAACCTTTGAAAACAGCGCGGTGATAAATAGAAAACAGAGCGATGGAAAGAATCTCGTCAAATGCGGGAAGAATATTTATATTCTAGAGACATTTCCGAAAAATATCGCAAAAATATCAAGAGCTTAGTAAATAGCAAGGAAAATAGCATAAAAAATCGTGACTTTTACAAATAATGTACTTTGAAGACCTCATAATACCACAAATTTTTTTATTTATTTTCGACAAAGATTATGACTTCACCCATCATGTCAGAAAACGAGGAAAAAACAATCCAAACATATGGGTGTCAAGCACATTGATAACTAGCTGACAGATGGCGGATGGTGTTGTGATTTCTGTGAATGTAATGTGAATTATGGTTTCCGTTGGTTACGAGTGAAACTGTTATCCATTGAAAGGTAATTCACATGAAAATGGGTGTGCTTCCTTATATAGGCTGTCAAATCGTTAAACTTATTTAGGACTAGGCTCTTGAAGACGGTTTCCTTTCGGTTGGTCGAAAGTGGCGCTTATGAGGCATTTTATAATTTAAGATTTTGAGTATATTTTTTGATAGTTTAAGCTCTTAAGTATATATTATATGCGATAAAGAGTAATTTTTCGTATCTGAGAGGCCTTCAACTCGCTTTCCATCACTTAAAAAGCTGCTGTATAGGATCACTTGGATCTGCCCATCACGACCTATTCACCTTGTGTATCCGCACGGTTAAGTACCTATAGGTACTGCACACTGCACAGCATAGGTACCTATAGGTACTGCACACTGCACAGCATAGGTAGGTACCTTCAAAGTACATCCACAAAGCACAAAATGATTGGAACTGGGAAGTTTTGTCATGTCTTAAATATTTCAGAATGTGGTATTTTGTGTATTTTTTTCTTGTACATTTATGAATTTGTCTTATAATTGGGACTTTTCACTTGCTAATTTTTGTGGTCCTCTTTGGTGTCAGTTTTTTTGTTAGCTGGTTAGCACACTACTAGTTTTCCCATAAATGTTAGTTCATTATGGATGTTTCTTGAGCTCTTATTGGTGGACCACAAAGACTACATGAATTTGACCCAACAGAAGTCAATTAAAAAAAAAAACTTAGTCTGAACCTTTTGATGGGAAGGATTCACAAGGACAGAGCCACCGCTAAGCAAAGCTTGTTGCGGTGACCCTGCCCTCTACCCCCCAATAAATGCCAAGCCAGCAAGCTGGCAGCCAGTTAAATAAAAAAAAAACTAACCAAACAGCGATTATGCATTGGGGTAGAAATTTTCTGAAAAGTCTTCAATGCAGCTAGTATTCAGTATGCCAAATGGCTCACTTATCTCCATCCTTTCACAGGTTTTGACAACGTACGAGCCGGAGCCATGTCACGTCACAGGAATGTGCGAGGCATGAACTATGATGATGGTAAGCAACTTTTACCATTTTATTCATATTGGAAAAATATATGACCCCTTTTTGCTACTGGAAAAAATTTAGTCACTTTGATTTGTTCATCATGTTTGCTGCAACATTATATTTATATTTTCAGCTTAATCTTGATTTCCTTGCATCTTCACAAACAATCACTATGGGTGGCTCTTGTTGTGTATTTTGACTCTAGCTCTGGTTCTGAGTAAAGAGCATTCATGGCTCCTGCTCCAGCTTACTCAAGCTTGGGTACAAATAATACAGCTCTACCAGTTTTTGCTTGGACAGTGTCTTGCCAGTGATCACTTCATATTTTCTGATCTGCTAACATTAACAATTCAGCCTAATCTGGTCAAGATAACTGCCTAATTGTTGTCCATTCTTCTATGGTCAGGCCAGCACCTCAGCTCATCTTTATGATATTCCTAGCAATATAATACAATGCCCCTGTCTATGCAGAAAATATGCAGGCTCTGGCTTCCACGCTGTATCTATGATTATCACCATACATGGGTATCCATCCCCTAAGTGAGCCCATACCTATTTGCTCTACCCACATTATTATGCTCACACCTCCCACCAGCACTCGCTGACCACTCTCTCATTTCTCCCACTGCCATCCCACAGAGTATGATGGCTACTATGACGTGTACGGACACAGCGTGGACGACGAGTACACCATGTCACCGTCTTCTGTGGAGCGCGAGTTCACGTTCGACCGGAGTCGGCAGCAGAACATGGATGCGTTCCTGCGCGGCGCCCCGTCGTCCATTGCCGAGGAGCAGGAGGCAGAGGTGCGGGAACCGACGGCGCTGGAGGTCGGGATGGGAGCGGGCAGGTGTAGGGATGTTCCGAGAAAGCTCGCTTTGGTTTGCCCTCGCTACAACAATGTTGTTGGATGTTTATGCTGTTGTTCTATTGATGCTTATTTATTATCATTGTCATAGCGGGCGTCGAAAGCGTCGAATCGAATTTTTTTCGAACGTTTTTTATACCTAGTTCTGTATTATACTTGAAAAAAACATATGTCTTACTGCCACTGGCTACGCTCTGAAGGTGGTGATTCGTCCTCGTCTCACCCTACCCTTCCCCCTCTATCAGGATTCTGACGGCAGCGGCGGCGCGGGTGCTCACCGCGGGGCCGCCCGTCAGGACTCGTGCGGCCCGCTGGTGCCAGATCACCTGAACAGCGAGCAGCGCGCGCGGCTTCTCTCCTGTCTGGACGCAGTCCGGGACGTGGTCGGCGAGACGGTCTCCGACCACGCCATCGTGCGCGCCGTGCTCAGACACGACTACGACTGCGCCGCGGCGCTAGACGCCATCCTCTCGGACGCCATGGCTGGCATGCCCGGAGGTGGGTGACTCTCGAGCGGGGGACGGCAGGTGGGTGACTCTTGAGCGGGAGGACGGCGTGTGAAGGAGTCATTCGGGGTAGTGCTGATGTGACGCTGGGATGGGGGTACGATACGACAGGCCGGGAGTCTGGGTCTATATGACGGAATAATGGGGAATAAATCGATAGCCAGACAGGTTCTCAAGAAATGCTCCTGCTTTGACCATTCCTCTGCCCACCAGGCCGTCTCTCCCGTCGAGATTCGATGGAGCGGCCTCCCTCAGAGCGCGGCGACACCTCTCCAGTACCTCCAGCAGCGGCGGGAGCAGCCAAAGGACCCCCACCAGGTACGGGCGCGTGGTAGAGCGACGGCTGTGTGATGGGCTGTGTTGATTGTCATGTGTCTAAAGAACGCAGAAACCAGAAATGACGTGTCGACTGTCGGCAATTATGTTTTTGAAGGCGTTGCGTGTCCAAAATTGAACGATGTTTCCTAGACTGGACTTTGCTGTCACTCGTCTAACACTTGTTTCTCCTTTTTCCATGTGTGCTCCCCTGACGGCTGCTGCTGGTATTATTCTTCGGTAAGGTAAGGTTTTGTCCGGCCTTCGTACCCTCGTGATCTGGCGGACAGCTCCCCTCGGTGTTTGACCGCAGATATGTCGAGCCTGGTGACCGATACCAGTAAAATGGCACTGAATAAGATACCACTACCCAATGGTCTGTCTGGTCATAGATCAGGCCTCAAAGCTCCGCCTGGGTTCGCGCCCCTGCCGCAGTCGACCGATTTTGTCAACCCGCCTGGATTATCTTCACTGAAACAAATGGCCGCATCTGCTAGTCATGAAGCCCATGCAGTACCTTCTTTAAAACAGATGTCCGCGTCCTTTGGTACACCGGTTAGCGCAGCACCTTCGCTGAAGCAAATGGCTGAATCAGTTAGTCCAACTGTAAACACGGTGCCTTCTCTGAGGCAAATGGCTTCATCTGTTGATCCAACAACAAGTACTATACCTTCTTTGAAGCAATTGGGTGCATCCATCGGTCCACAGACAAATGCAGTACCTTCCCTTAAGCAAATGGGTGCATCCCTCGATCCCAAGACAAATGCAGTACCCTCCTTGAAGCAAATGGGTGCATCGCTTCGTCCAACAACAAGTACCATACCTTCTTTGAAGCAAATGGGTGCATCCCTTGGTCCACAGGTAAATACAGTACCTTCTCTGAAGCAAATGGGTGCATCCCTTGGGCCACAAGCAAATGCAGTATCTTCCCTGAAGCAAATGGGTGCATCCCTTGGTCCACAGACAAATGCAGTACCTTCTCTGAAGCAAATGGCTGCATCCATTGGTTCACCAGCACAAACGGTACCTTCCCTGAAGCAGATGGCTTCATCGATTGATTCTGAAACAAATGCAATACCCTCTTTGAAGCAAATGGCTGCATCTATTGGCTCCGAATCAAAAGCGATTCCTTCTCTAAAACAAATGGCCTCATCCGTTGGTCCACAGACAAGTACCATACCTTCTCTGAAACAAATGGCTGCCTCTGTTGGTCCTACAAATACCATTCCTTCCCTGAAGCAAATGTCGGCATCTGCTGGTTCATGTGGTCCGCTCCAGACTCGACTACCACCCCATGTCTCCCCGTCACCGGGTCCCTCACCAAGAGACGATGTGATTGACCTGACGGCGGCGCTGCTCCCGGAGCGCCCCACCCGCCCCGCCGAGCCGTCCCCGCCCCCCTCCTCCCCACCGGCGCCGGTGGAGCCCTCCCCTCCCCCTCTGCCGGCCCCCGCGCCTCCCACACCCCTCCCGGTGGCGCCGGCACGGCTCCGCGGCGCCCCCTCGACCCTGGCACTCTGTATGCCGTGTGCGGCCGGACGCCAGCGGCGGCGGATCTTCCACCCCGCCAGCCTGTCGTGGGCTCCAAGTGCGGCGGTGAGGCCGTTCGCCTTCGATACGCCCTCGCCGGATGATCTGGTGCGGGCCAAACAGAGCCAGGTCATCACCAAACGGTGATTGTGGTGGGGATTGCAGAGAACCGGCGGTAAACCGTCGAATTGAAAATCCGCACAAAGCAACAGGACAAGCCATGTTGAGGTTCGCGCTGCTTGGGCATGCGCATTGTCAACGTAGCGAGCAGAAGTAGGGTGGTAACGGTAAGATCTCTGAAGAAAGTGTACTGATGTCAGATGCATGAATTTGGGCTGATAGTGGTCTGAATGATGAAAGGAAAGACTTTGGTAGTTACTCCTAAAACAGCCTGGCTTGTGACTAAGGTATCCTTTTGGATGAAAGTCCGTTCTTCCCGCGCGTGATGTGATGCCAAATGAGTCCAATTTGACTGATAGACATAGGGTTGTACCGCCGCGGTTGTGCCGTTAGGTGCTACACGGCAGAGGTGGATGACTAGACAATATACATGGTGTAGACTGTAGACATATAGAATAGACAATAGACGTAGAACAGACGGGTAGTTCATACTGGTGCTGTACTTGGTCCTGTACCGGATGAACTTTCCAGAGACCGTGCATATGTTGTCTATGTGAGCGCATGTACTGTGAAATGTTGACTGCTCAGGTGCGACCGTGTGCTCCGGGGATGTTTACTTTCAGTGTGTGATGTCTGCTTTGAATTAGGCTGTGGACCGACGTAAAATGACGGTGCTTGTCTATTCACCATATCATGGCTACACATTTTGGTACCCAGCGGCAACGCACCAGACATTTTTCCACGCTGTATCATCTAAAAAAATCAGTCGCACTGTGTCTCCTGGTTTTAACGAACCAGCGAAGTGTATTTTCTGTGAGAGAAGCATACCAATTTGATCGAAACTCTGTAACCAGGTACAAAGCCGATGTGGTGTGAGGAAGTGCACCAAGTCCCGTCAGTGTGGATACTCGATTTTGTGTCTCCCAACGATGCTCGCCTGCGTGTGTTCTGGCTGTATGTAACTTTCAGTACAAATGAGGCGATGGATGGCAATTTTAAAGCACTTTCCCGTATGTTTTCGTATGATTTAGATCGTCACTTGTACGACTAGCTCTAGTATATCCACTGTCATGGTCGACAATAATTGGAAACAGGCTGGTGAAGTGATGTCTCGTTGTGACTTCAGTTATTGGTTAACTGCTTCCTTAAATTTAAGCGAAAATGTATCGGTAATGGGGCTAGTCTAAGCCACTTTTTCTGTAGCGTAATTAAGGTCCGCCCGTCAGTTATTCCCCATCATCTTACTCATTATTGCGACTCGAATCGCTTTTCTATGTGCATCTTGGTCAATTGCACCCGTGCTAAACAAGTACATTCGATAAATTAAGTCATATAAACCTTTTTGCTTGGTGTACGAAGGTCTATGGCGCTGTAGTCCCTATAGTCTGGGTTAAGTTTGACCGGTCTCATCAACTGTTTGTATTTACTTATCAAGTATAGGTACCCTGTCGAACAGGCAGATGCGTGGATCGGTTTGCTGCTTAGTGCCGGTCATGGCTCCTCGCTGCCTGTGTGTCAGTATCCATAGGTATTAGTTGGTAGGTAGGTCCCTGGTCCATACCCTGTTCGGCTGCCGTGCTTGACCTGCGCAGATCACGTACATCGCTCGCGAGACAATAACTATTTTTGTATTCCGACATGCACTCGCGTGGTGCTACTGGTGCGAAATATAAGTGGATTTTACCCGTTTTTGGATATCCGTGAAAAAGAGGTCAGTGGTGGTTTTCCAAATCATCTATGACCCATACTGCCCAGGCGTCTTATAACATTCGCGTCAACCTTTTACTTTAGTGCTCCTACATTCAGGGATGTGTCTTATGGCTTTCGTGATTTTTTTTGTTTTACCAGGAACATGTCATGATTGTGCGGGATTTCAGGGGCCCTTTTCCAAACTTAAGTTATCGATATAGATACCATCGGTACCTATTGCTTGCAAGTGCTGCCATGCCACTAGCCGATTCTTGGTAAGTAAAAGCTTGTTCTTCATTACCTAGGTCACCTCAAACTATGCAAACTGAAAGCCAAAGCCTATGAGCTGCGGCCGCGGACTAGTTTTATGAATGTAGTTGCTGTCCTCGGTTGTCAGTACCGTAGTTATTCATACTCTAGCACGAATAAAATTCCTTTGAACTTCTTATCAATGTGTTGCACCCAGATGTGAGATCACCGCACTTCATCGCGAGTCTCATCTTCTAATCCCGTGATTCTTAAAAAAAAACGTAACTTGTGCAATGGATCGTCCCCTTTCGCCAGGGATCCCGGTACCGTCCCCTGCCCAGCCGATCCAGGCGACCCGCCGTACCATGACCTCCCCCCCCCCCTCCGCCCTCAGGCATCCCGGTACCGTCCCCTGCCCAGCCGATTCAGGCGGCTCAGGGGGGACGTCGACAGCCGCCGCCGGCCCGGGTCGTCGTCGGGTTCGACGAGCGACTCGCCGCACAAGGTGAGGTAGCGCCGCGGTCCTTATCAGGGTCCACTGTTAGCTCCACTGTTACTTTGCGTGACTGTTGAGAAGTTGTATGCTATAGTCTGTTTACATTAGTCGATTTTCTACATTTTCTTTTTGGTTAACGAGAGAATCTTGTCGCCGCTGTTATGCTACAACTACTCCTGAAACATAAAACCTAACAGCTCTCCTTTCTCCAACCCCTCAGCCGAGAAGGACCCGCCGGTCGCCGACTCGGCAGCGGAGGCGGCCGCTCCTTCGGCGGCGCCTCTGCCGGCCGAGGTACGGGAGCTGCGGGCCGCTGCCGGTGGAAGGTCCAGCTCCACGTCACCAATGTCCTCCCGACGACAGTCGCCGGCGCCGGCGGCCGACGGAGCCACGCCGGCCAAAACGCCAGCCAGGTGCGGTGAGCGGGGTGTGATGACTGCAGAACAGAGCCTGACGTTACACTATTGCTTGAGCTTGGCTGATTTGAGTCAGACTGACCAGAATGAAACTTAGATAGCCAGATTTGGTAGAACGGACCTGGCCTTACACGAGCTGTTTTACGCTGACCTGATCAGCTAAGTTGACATGACATGTCAACCTGAGCTGAATAGAATTGCACGGAAATTGCTGCGAGCTATCATGCTCCTGATTGATGTTGCTGCACGAAATAAGCCATTCCCCGACCCTGACCCACCGATGTCTTGTCAGGACACTGACCTCCTCTCTGATCGCTCGTTTCTCAGAACACGGGACGCCCGGGCAGAGTACGACAAGGAGCGGGCAGACAGCAAGCAGCTCATCAACATGGTGGTTATCGGACACGTAGACGCCGGTAAGAAAATAGGAGCATCAAAATATCGCGTAATGCCCTGTATGTATACCGTAAGACATGTGTTTTTAATAAAACATTCGGTGTTGGTGGTGTTGAAATTCAACATACTGTTATGTTCTCCGCCAGTGGCGGGAAAGAGAGAGATTCCGAGCGAATGCTTTATTGGTAATGTAATGCGGAATAAGTAACAATTATAGCTGAACAAAACAAATACATACCCCACTCGGGTCGCCGCCCGATCTGCCACCCGCTTAGCCCGAGGATGGCAGGGACGAGTGACGGGATCACTCGTGCCGGGAGAGGAAGCAGCGCGTGACCGGATCACGCGGCTGCCAGGACAGGACTGCCCCTCCGCGCTGCGGCCGGCTCGGCGTCAGCGCGGTCGGGTCGAGGTCAGGGAGGGCTGGCGCACGGGGGTTCGCCCGGCGGACGGGAGGGCTGGCACCCGGGGGTTCGCCCGGCGGGCGGGAGCCATGGCATGGCACCGCGCGGCAGGCACACGACAGGCACAGCGAGATACACACTCGCGATAGTTAACACACATAACACTATCCCCTCCCTCTGATTTGTTTCGACCCGAAAAAAAGACACGTACATAACATCGTTCACAGATATATGACATAGTTCACAGAACGCACTCAGCACGGCCAACACCGAGTCACCCAGCCGCGTGCAGCACGAGCCACTTGGGGAACTTCTCCACATCTGCCACCTTCCTATACCCTTCTGGGCTCAGGTGGATCCGATCGTCGCGGAACCAATCCCCGCACTCCTCCGTGACGAGGTGTCGCGACCTCCGGCCCAGCTTCTTCGTTAGGGCCTTGCCCACGCTCACGAAGTCATCCTCGCCGACCGCCTCTTTCACCTTCCGGTCGACTTTGTAGGCGGCCGTCTGCTCCCACGGCAGGGTGATGTCATAGGCGATCCTCGGCAGGGGCCCGATCACCGTTACCGACGCTGATGACGCCCTGGCGAGCGCGATGGTCTCGGCGATGCACCGCTCCAGGACGGCGACGCGCGATGCCGTCATCGTAAGAAAAAGGTTCCGGCCGGTGCCGCGCTCGTAGCCGTCATTGCCGCTGAGCCACATTACGATCGACCCCAGCGACAGCCCGAACAACACGGCGAACCGCCTCCATTCGTCCACGTAGTCCTGGAACGTGAAGCGGAGGCGGCTCCACGTTTCGCCGCCCTTGGCCTTGCTGTAGATGATGTCGGCGCCGACGATGTCCATCAGCGAGTTTCGGGCGATGCTACAGCCGACCAGCAGGTGAACTCTTCCGGAGGGGGCCGGGGCTCGGAGCGGGGCCCGTTTCCGGGATGATCCCGCTCCGCCCGCTTCGGGAGATGCGGGTCTCTTGGCCGGGCGCTCCAGAGGGTGGTATTCGGCCAGCCAGTCTCCCGCCTCCGGATCGTCCAACTCGAGCACATCCATAGCTGGGCGTGATCAGCAATCCTGCTGAGCACATGAGCAGAGGGGCGTTAGCACATTGCACCTTAGCAGAGTACAGAGGACGAACGATTCTGACGTACATTACAAATAACCTAACACATTGGCACATTTACAAACCCGAAACATTGCGATTCACTGTTAACCCTGAATGATAGCGACCACTATGAATAGGTTAGGAAGTCGGGGGGTGTGCGCCGGCGTCCCGAACGGCGCCGACCCACAGTGCCCCCCACACCAGCACCATGACCATGACCAACGGCGGCCGCCGACAGTCGGCGAGTCTCGTCCGAGGCCGGACCCGGTCCAACAGTGGGGCCATCCCGAATGGTCCCGCCCGGCGCACGGGCCACACCGAGAGCAGGGAAGATCCCACTCTCCCTGCGGTCAGCCGCCGGATCCGGATCCATGTCGTCATCGGGAGACCCAGGGCGCGGAGAGGTTTGGTTCCCATGTACATGTGCCCCATCGACTCGATGAAGTTCATCTGTCCAAGACAACTTCGGCTGACCCTTCATTCGCCACAGACGATTGAAATGGACAACCTTACATGCGGTTTTTCCTGATGCGCGTATCCGGTACGTGACGGCAGAGAGCACCTTCACGACGGTATACGGACCTTCCCAGGGAGATGAGAACTTCGGGCTCTGGCCCTTCTTTCGCCGCGGATTGTATAGCCAAACCTGGTCCCCCTCTATATACTGGTTTGCAGTAGCCTTTGCATCCTTCCTCCGCTTCATCGTCTCAGCTGACATTTTCAGGTTGTTTGCCACTGTGAAACGGATTTCGGACATGTGGTCTCGCAAGTTTCTGGCAAACTCAGTGGTCGTGTGCACGTCTCCCTGACTGTCCGGTGGTCTCTCCATCAGCATGTCCAGAGGGAGG